TATCATAATCATAAACTTCTCGGACGGACAGACATACAAACCGACAAACCGACAAACCGACAAACCTACAAACCTACAAACCGACACACCAAGTTACTGCTTTATAAATAAGAAGGATCAGCTGTTGAATGTCGTAAAATAACATGAGTTGGTGTAGTAATATGGAGCAATGATAAGACTGTGTTGAGAACTCGGGCTCGTACTGCATGTTTTTGTGTGGATATGTAATTTTATCAAAACTAACAAGAAAAATTTCTTATTGATTATTGAATTTGACTCGCAGCTCTCGCAATGAGGTCAGTTTTCCGTCAGTGAACTGCATATGATATATAACGTTATGACCGCTACAGCGCAGTGATTGCTATGATTTGAATATTTTCAGGGAACGCCATATGTTCCGAAAAATGTACTGGAAACATATCCTTGTCGGTGACTTTGTACACGTTTCCAACGAGCAAGAAATACCTGCTGATGTTCTGTTTTTGAGGTTGGAACGTTTAAAAAAGGAATTAGATGTGATTATGGCAATCTCCCGTTGACGTTAGAATCGAATTGAATGCTGTTCGGGTTTTATGGGTTTGCGGAAACTATAAGAATGGTTTGACTGTATAGAATGGTTAAGATTTAAATGGAGGTTGTCATTGGATGTCGTTTTCACGCTGTGCGCTCCCTCGGTACGATCATATCCTGGTGGCTTACTTCCTTTAATTTCAGCTTTTCTGAAGAGCTCGGCATTCTTCTCAAATGGATGCTTCTCCCTCCTTAGGCTTTGCCGAAAAATTTTATCCCCGTTTTTCAGAATGGTCTCTGAGCATCTAGCAGAAGCAGGTTCCTCAGCGCTCTAAGCAATAGCATCAGAGCCGCAGAGTACACTACATGGAGTGATTCCCTTCAACCACTTTTCCACCAAAGGAAATAATTTGAAGAGCATGTTTTGTGTTACAAGGAATATGGGTAAGGTCATTTAAGGGTTGGAGAGCACGAGGGTAATTTTTGGCCACTGCGATTTCTGGCTATCCTTGGCCAGTTGGCTCGGATCGTAATAGTTACTTGTCTTTTCCGTCCCTATTCGTAACCGCTTGGCCCACTCATTGTCTTGCTGAGAGTGAGCGTACGAAAACGAGAAAGTTCATGCCCTGAACGCGGCAAGCCTGAAAGCAACCGTTGCACAGTTCCAGCTTTGGTGTAGCTTTGATTTTTATCCAAGGATTCCGAGAGAGTTGTCTCACCGCGCAGCATGCCGGAGTGCTAGTTACGCGAGGGCTTCACTGTGCGTGAGAAGAGAAAGGAGGATCAAGAAATCACTACATTCTGTCCTCCAGCATAGGAAGACCAAGTTACTTCTTCAGATCGTCTGATGAGAATGGTACGTGCTATGTGGAAACGTGCAATTTAGATGGCGAGACATCGCTGAAGCAACGATTAGTGCCTCGACACTACTTGCCATTTTCTCAGGTGATTCACTCCAGCTTTCTGCATTCTACTCACGCCTTTTTTTCTTTTACTCATTGCGAATTCTGCATGAAAGGACAAAAAAAAAACACGGGCCCTATAGAAACCACTTGTCTCCTCTGTGATGTCGTGCCCAGTGGACCAACAGTATGGAGTAGGTTTAAGGTGATGTATAGGCTGGGAATATGTACTTCCTTTATATTTTATAGCTAGAGGATAGACAATGCTCAAGTAGGCCGATTCTCTTTTTAGCAAGGTAACGATTTTACGCCTCCAAACTTCACCGGCACTGTTTTCTGTGAACCTCCTGATCCGGCTATCTACACTATTCGGGCGAAAATCGAGCGTGCACCAGGTCTGCTTCATACTTTTCTTACATCACTCTCAAAACAAATCAGTTCATGGCTAAATTGGCCAAGATCCCTTCAAAGTTCTAGGAAAATTCATGAGATTGTTCAGGTTCGTTTGAGCTAATAACCAAGGACAACATGCTGCTCCGTGGAAGTCGCCTTCGTAATACTACTTTCATCGAAGGAATTGTACTGTATGCAGGTAAGGTAGCGATGTAGGCTAACCGTGTAGGTAGTCCAAGGGGTGCCTTTCCCACAAAGTGAGTCCTATCCGTATTTCGATTGTTCGGTTGTTTTCAGTGGACATTATGGCCCATGTCTTAAATATTTATACGTCTGGGTTCAATGTGGGTTTGGGAAAAAAGTTGCAGAACTTCCCTGCTTATAACTAGGCGCGTTCTGATTTCAGGTCACGACACGAAGGTTATGATGAATAATGGGCGAGCACCACACAAGATCTCTGGAATCGAATTGTTAACAAATCGGTATGCACCTTTTTAACGTTCCCCTCATTTCCAGGTCCTTTCTTATTCCCAATACTATTTCCTCTTACAATTACAGGGTGACCCACATGAAGTGTGACGCAGAAAACTAGTATCAAAATTATACAAATCAAACCAAATAGGAAACATTTACACTTATACAATCATCACAAAATTGTAAATAACATATCACATCTCGTATGCAGAATGACCATATTTCGCTTTAATGCAAGCATCCAACCTCTTTCGGAAATTTTCAAGAATGCGCGCAATCGCTTTCATCCCACGCTTCTACAGGGGAGCTTTTTCTTCAGAGGGTCGAAAGGCCTGTTTTTGAAAGCGCAGGCTTTTCGCTCTAGGATCGTTCATACAGCAAAATCTGAAGGATTGAGATCGGGGAATTTGAAGGTCATACCTGCTTCGCCCCAAAAATCTGGAATTGTGGTTTCACAACATTACAGCATCTTCTTTGCGCTGTGGGCTGGTGCCCAACCCTACGGAAGATTCNCAATCATCACAAAATTGTAAATAACATATCACATCTCGTATGCAGAATGACCATATTTCGCTTTTAAGCAAGCATCCAACCTCTTTCGGAAATTTTCAAGAATGCGCGCAATCGCTTTCATCCCACGCTTCTACAGGGGAGCTTTTTCTTCAGAGGGTCGAAAGGCCTGTTTTTGAAAGCGCAGGCTTTTCGCTCTAGGATCGTTCATACAGCAAAATCTGAAGGATTGAGATCGGGGAATTTGAAGGTCATACCTGCTTCGCCCCAAAAACCTGGAATTGTGGTTTCACAACATTACAGCATCTTCTTTGCGCTATGGGCTGGTGCCCAACCCTACGGAAGATTCAGCTGACGTTCACCGCGTTCCTTTTCGCTCAAGGGATCACCGCATCCTGCAGCCCAGAAGCCCATAAGTTGATTTTTTTATTGCCCGTCACACTTCATGTGGGTCACCCTGTAGAGCATACGACGCGTATTCGACTAATGAGTGAACTGTGAGGTATTTTTGCGATGGTTGTAATGCCCACCATTTACTTCGGGGAGAGTTAGGGGGAGAGGAAAGAATCACGATTAGCTCGGGTGATTTCGGGCTATGATGTCAAGGAAATGTCGCGAGAAGGACGAGCAGTTAAGATACGCTCAAGGAGGACAGGTATATAGCTTACACCCCATTCAGTTTGGAATGAATGGTCCGTACGGTGGCGACTTACAATTAGTCGTCGCTGAAAATCTCACTCATTGCTTATTTGGCACATGCTCAGAACAACATTGGCCCTACGTAGTTCAGTTTTTTTCCTTCACCCTTACAGTATACCTAATTCTAGTTGACCCGTTCTCATTCAGATTCATTGTGCTATGTATGGTAATCCTCACCGCTATGGTTGTTGGTAGCTCGCTAATGTCTGGAATTTGGTTGGGTGATCACCCTTTGTCAGACAACGATGCGAACGTTACAATAGTGAGTTTCCACTTAAGTTTGAGCCTGTTGTTTAGCTGCATTTAATTAGAGTCCATATGTCGCCTGGAACTCTCCCAAGCCAGTCATCGACGGTGTCTACGGTATTGGCTCCTTCATTATCTGCTACCAGGCGAGTGTAACGACATAGTTACCTGCAAGACTAGAAAATTGCTCGTAATTACCAACTCTCTTCAGGTGATCGTGCCAATTTCTTTGTACATCACTGTAGAAATTATTAAAATCGCCCAGATTTTCTTTCTAAGTCAGGATATTGAACTCTACGACTCGGACATGGTAAGAATTCTTGTTTTCAGCCGGAATTTATTAAAGTCTAGAGAAATCAGTACAAATCCTTTCCCACTAAAGTTGTCTGAAATTGCTGTCAAGTTCCCCTGGTTTTCATAAGTGCTGTACTGGTAATCGAAAAAGTATGGGTTGACTTTTTCACCCGAAGCTTGGCAAAATCCTTAGTGTTATCATTTTTAGGACAGAGCAATAGACTGCAGGTCGTTGAATATACCCGAAGAGTTGGGACAGGTTCGCAAAAGACAATCTGGTTGCCAGTTATGCCATTTCAAAAAAAGTTACCATTCAGATAAGTCATGTGTTATCGGACAAAACTGGGACGCTTACGGAAAACATCATGATCTTCCGAAATTGCGCTTTTGATCATGTCGATTATGGTCCGGATAGAAGTTTGGTGGGTTTCAGTAAAGCATTATTTATATTTTAGTCTTTTGGCTTGAAAATTTCACTAAGCATCCTCTCATCGCAGGGTGAGAGTGATTCGACGAAACCTGTGGTTTGTGTTGCTCTTCAAGACAGAGTGAAGTCGGACTGGCCAACAAACACCCATATGAAACACTTCTTCTTGAATATGGTACTGAACAATTCTGTGGTGGTCAACAAAGTACCTCACCATGACGCGTTGGAGGTGGGCCATAGAATCATCATCATTTTCTAACGCCCAACGTTCAGTGATTTCAGGTTGGCTTTTTCGAACGCGATGTGTACAACATAGGCAACTCGTCCTTTTACGACATTACAGCTGAACAATTCAAAGAGATGGTCGAACAGTTCAAGAGTCAAACGGCATCGACGTCAGTCGATAGGTGAGTTTCAAATGAGGTTCGGATCATGACTGACTCGCTTGGGCTTCCTCTATTAAGGAGCTGGAGGGTGTCAAGAAAGGAGTGTGTGTCGAATCTCAAAGTCAGCATACCTTATTTGGAAAGTAAGCAAAGCTCATTTAAACCAAGGTTTTTCTAATAACTCAAGATATTGACTTCATTGAGATTTCCTGCATGTTTGACTGCACGGCGCGACCTTATCCTAAAGCGAATCAATTTGATGGACATAGTCCTTTGAAATATATTCTTCAGGCCGCAACAAATTGGAAGCTGTTTGAGTGAGATCCCTGAAGACAGTGAGATTGACTCTACCATTGGAGGTATTTTTTTCGATAAAATTATTCGCAACACTTTTTTCACCTCTTGTGAAATTTGAGATATTCATTTTTTTTTGTGTTATTTTCAGGATTTTCTACTTTGCCCTCTCCCACAACACCAAACTTTGATAGCGATACGGTGGAGACCCCGGCTCCTGTTTCGAGGGTATCATCGTTTTCGAAATTTGTGAAGAGGAATCTCATCTCTCCCATAATCTCACCCATAACCTCCCTGTAAGTGATTTTTCTAACATGAGCTTTCTAGTGCCAGAAAAAAGTGAGATTTATGGGAAGGCTCCCGTCATCAATCAGCTTACTGTAGAATGAAGAGGAAAGGCCTATCATGAGGAGAGCGTTAGAGGTCAGGTACTGGTCCCAAAATAGACCCTGTTTCAATACTGCTTTCAACTCCCATGCCAAGTGGCAGGTTGTCTTGCACAACTAGAGGCTCAGCACTTCAGATACAGCATTCTTACCTTATTGTCAGTAGAGTTTACTTTGAACTACCATTAACAAGGGCCCTCGTATAGATACTTGGGGCAGAGTTTATGATAACTTTAGGGTATCTAGTTCCAGACGATTAATGGAAGTAATAGTCCAAAGTAATGCAGAAGAGGCGGAGAAAACGCGAGAATAGGCGTATCCAGAGATTTATTGAGGCGCCAAAAAAGTAGGATAAAAAGGTGGTACGAGATAATGACGGCAGAAGCGGAAAAAANAAAAAAGTATTTAGACGAGTTGTCCGAATGAGTGTGCCATTGCGTACTGTTAGCTACAGTTTGCTACCTGCAACGCGTCCCTGTGCGAATGGTTCAACCTCTACAGCTTCTACAGCCCGTGAAAACTCGTCTGCCTTGGGTGAGCTCGTAAGCCAAGCCGGTCTTAGGGCCCTTATTACGCCATTTCTAAGCCGTTTTTTCCGACAGCTTCCCTTGTGCTATTCCTGTGGGTTATAGCTATGTCCTAGAGAGAAAATCCAGAAACAGTTTTTATCGTGAGCTGTGCCTTCTAATAGTGTGATGAATGAGAACGACTAACTGTCGTGTAGTGAACAGTTGTGCCTGTTGAACATAGTTTTTTTGCTATCGTACTTGCAACCATTGGTACAAACTTGAAATTAGTTCGAATTTCCTATCAAATTTCTTTTACGCTCTATCCACTCATGCTTTCCTGTGAATAGCTCACGTTTTAATATCACATCCTGTCAGGCTTCCGTATGACTCAATACGAAAACGCCATGAAACGGTGGTCGCGAACGACTTCTGTCCATATGAAGCAGAAAGTCCAGATGAATTGGCTATTATCATGGGTAAGTAACTGCACGAAGATCTCAAGATCATTTATATCATCAACATTTGTTGGTATAATTTGAGTAAAACATTGATCGAAGTATCACTCAAATTTCAAGTGGCCGCAGTCTGCTTGGCCTTCTCATTTTTCCGAAGATGACTTCTTACCATGTCCTACTATTGTATGTACCTTTATTCTAGAAATCCGAAGGCTCGAATTGTCTCAGCTGAAGACCATTTTTGTGACAAGACAAGCAGATTAGGCACACTTAAAGCCATGGCGTTCGCTCCCCACTAGCCTAATCCTTCCTTCACAACTATGGATTATGATCATACTTGTGAAAGCGTGAACAATCCCCTCTGGAACCAGAAAATGCCTCTGTATCCAACTTTTCAAACGATTTTTTCTTGGGACCACGCGATTGGACTCTTGGCGAGCTCGCGGCTCTACCACAATTCAATTCATTCCATGTGAAACCTAAGTTGTAAGGCGGTTCTTATAAAGTAGTTTGAATGGTTGAATTGTAGATTATGACTTTAAGGTGCAAGCCTATATGGTTTCAAACTCGAAGACAAGTCTGCAACCCATACCATAATTGGAGTTCCTGGTGGTGCTCAAGAAAGGTAACTCCATTTACTCCAGATAGCATGTAACTTTCTCGATACTTGTCTACTTTAAGGAAGTAACTTTCAGATTTGAGGTGCTACAGGTATTTCCTTTCCATGCTGAACGGAAACGAATGTCAGTAGTAGTCAAGACACCATCTGGACCTCTTCTATATTGCAAAGGCGCTGATTCTGCAATTCTCTCGCGGTAGGAATTAACTGATTGACTCGTACTACTCCGATAAATGGACTCGTATACGTTTTGGAAAGTTTCGCCACGAGTTTCGCCTCTTCCCTCCGCTGACAGTGGGCAGGCTCACAAATGGTTAGCCGTGTCGCTGTGATTGTGGAAGCGATTCATCCCTCTCAACCTACCCATACATCACCATCACAATACTCCTATCATCACATCCACCTGTCATGATCAACATTTACTGTGCTGTGGGACCACTAAATTTGAAACAGGAGTGGGCTGTCAACCGCTCGGGTCTACTGCTATATGTGCACGCGGGAAATTTGTTGTAAATATGTAGATGTTTTTCTAGATTACGCCGTCCCACAAAAGCAGAATCAATACATGGCTCTTCGTTGAAGGAACGACTGGACGAATATTCCTGTAAAGGGCTGCGAACACTAGCATTTGCTATGCGACTGCTAGATCAGGAACATTGGGAGGAATTTCTAGAAAGCTATCGATTCGTGAGTATAGCAAAATTCAATATATATCATAATATACGTTGTAGATGTATTATAAAAAATACTATGTCGTGTGATGGTGCCACCTTTGTTATTCATAAAATAGTAGCTGTTTCCGGCATGTCACTAGTAATGAAGTGTACAGCCTGCTTGGCACTCGTCGTGCTGGGCGGGATTTTCATAGCTTGGGCGGGGTTCCTATAACGGGCACAATAGCAAAGCGGAGATATTATTCTAAACATTACTGATTAGCTGCTCTAGGTCGAGAGAATGCAGCCCGGGGTCTCTTTGAAGTTTATTTGGTTATTTCCGAAAGAATTGGGAGCATCTGGATTCGGCACCATGTCCCCATACACGATCCATGGCAGTTCAAACGAAGGCGAGGTGCTGGTTGCGTCTCGGTGGCGTCGAATCAAAGAAATTTCATGTCTATTGAGTAGCTAAAGAAGATTCATTCGTGATGTAGCGAGATTGAGCTAGTTAGCTTTCCTGAGTTGGGTTTCAATGTTGTGCACGTGTGTAAGTTCCTTTCAGGTGATGAGCATTTCTTCCAACGATCGTGACCAACTTCTGTCACAAAAAGCCGATGAAATTGAGAAAGAACTCGAACTACTCGGTGTCACTGGAATTGAGGATCGATTACAGGTCCGAATTAGAATATTGTACACGAAGTTTGGGTAAATTTGTCTTGAATTATAGTGGGCATAGGGCTACCCAGTGGATGGATGTTGGTTTTCTCGAACTTACAATGAATGTTCGCCTTTGAGAACAGTTGGTAATAGAAATTGCTGTATGAACTCGATATTATCAGAGCAGTGATGATTGTGACTTTGGTAAAGAAAGGCGTGGAAATGTCATGAAAACCAAAACTATGAAACAGTGGAGTGACAAATTTCAACGGTAGGGTTGGAGGGGAACAGGTGTCCGTGTGCTTTTCTAGAGCCCTTTCTTTGGGTCACTGAGGGAGCGAGAAGGCGGCCCTAGCTAAAATATATGGGTTTATATACTATCTTTTTTCGTGAACACTTCGCATCGCCCCTGAAAGAGCTCCATGTAAGTTTAATGCGAACTTCAGGTTGTATTTTTCACGTCATCGAGCCAGACTGTTAACTTTTCTTTTTTTAAATTTGTCGTTCAGGATGGTGTGGAGGAAACTATTGTTGCTTTACGTGAAGCTGGCATGCAGGTGAGACATTTCAAATTTAAGTTTGTGGCGTTCCCAATGTATGTAGGCACAATTCCCATGTATAGGTTTCTTAATAACAGGTCTGGGTGTTGACCGGTGACAAGCTGGAGACGGCTGAAAACATAGCTCGTTCATGTGGTCTCTTTGCACCACGTCTTGTAACGTGGAAAATTGAAACTCGGGAGGATTTATCCTCGATACGGGGGGATGGGTAAGGATAGTTATTTGGATTCTGTTCCTTTTTTTTGATTTTTTTTTCAAGAAGTTATGTAGAGTTAGGCTGAGTTGATAAGAAGTGGTTGGTCCTGAAAAAANNAAAAAATTGTTCTCATCATATTTTTTCATCTCATATTCATCAGCACTCCGGCGTAACTACGAAAGGGCCTATGTTCTTATCGAAACCCTTAGGTGATTAAGAACTTGCGCGTACCTTCACTCCGTCCGTTCTTTACCATTAGGGTGACTCTATTACTAATATGAAATACTAGGAAAGGAAAAATAGCATCAAGGGACACAACTCTCCATGCATTTTTTCCCAGCCCTTTCCTTAAGCTATCACTTGGTGGGCCGACGTACGACAGACGACAGAGATTTTGATATTTGAATATCGATGAAGACTTTATAAAGCAAAGTGGCTGGTCAGAGAGGTGCTGAACAAGTAAGCGTTGTCACGGCATCTAGAAATTTCCAACCTTTTTTCAAATCAGATGCGAAACATCATTCGTTACGATTATGGCGTGGAAAAAATGTTTGGAGTGGATTCCATCTTGTGCCCAGCCACCAACGGCCTATTCCTAAACCGCATACTACCTAAACAGCCATTTGCTAGAGTTAGTCTGTTCACTAGCCAAGTGCTGATGATGTTTCCTTCTCCGTCTTTGGCTAATTCCACTCAGAGGAACGCATGGTTGCGCGATTTTTAGTTTTCGGGGACACTGCAATGCACTGATTCAGGTACAATTTGGTGCTGTCTCCACAAGCAACTCATCTGGCAAAACTTGGCGACGAAGGACTGCTAACCGTGTTGCGAAGGTATGCCTGATCGGAATTTTCTTCATTCTTTCTTTTACGCAAAAGTTCCATCTTTAGAGCGAAATCAGTTTTATGCTACCGTATGACACCCTCGGAAAAGGCCGAAATGGTGAAATGCGTCAAGACACATTTAAAGGTGACTTTCTTTTTGTCAAGTGACCCATTGTTCATAAAATCTTGACGTCATCCTCAGTAGGAAATAGAGTTCTATGAGAACCCTTCTTAAAATAGTACTTTCTAGTCGATGCCTAACAATGACTGTGAAATTTTCTAAGTCTATGTTAAGAAGGAAGCGATTCCGTAGTTTGGAAACCAGCACAACAAATTCTCTTTGCGTGTTGTGGTAGTGAATTTTTTTTCGCGTACTGATCCTTCTAGTGATCCATCTCTAGCATTTGCCTCTGAACTTTGTCATTCACAGATGCCGTAGTATGCCTGTCTGAGTGACGTGGAGACACGCGGCTGTAGATACGCTGATTGACTAATTTTTCGAGGACGTTTACCAAATCCTATTTCCTGAACAAAATGTAGTCCTCTCCCCCCCCCCCCCCAAATATTCCGTAGTTACTGTACTTTCTCATATGGCACTGCTGACATTGATGTAGTTCCTTTCATCTTCTTGTGATCCATTAAAATCAGTACCAGCCCTCGTTGGAAGAAAATCTTGTTTTCTGAGATCCCTTTTCGGCCTGGTCAGTGTGAGTAAAGCGTAAGTTTTGATCCAGGCAGTCACGTGTGTGTTGCCTCTTTGGAGCTCTAACAATTCTGGAGACGCATAAAACGTGTGGGCTTGATGGTCAGTTTGAATTAGGGAATTGTCGTTGATCTCGCTTTTTTTAGGGGAGAGTTTTGACTATTGGAGATGGAGCCAATGATGTGCCGATGATACAGGCAGCGCACGTTGGCATTGGAATCGTGGGCAAGGAAGGCATGCAGGTAGAACATTTATCTTCTCATCCATCTGAGTCAGGAATTAAGAGCTATCAATCAGTTGGAGTTGGTGCACGCCGTGTACTTAACCTCCAATCTAAGTGGTTTTGACGGCTGGGTGCGTATCAAGCCCATGCTGGGATTTGCTATGGCTAGATTATGCGAAGACCTTTGTTGACTCGAAGTCTGCTAACAAAGAAACATTACCAAAACACTTTTGAAAAAACAGGATTACCACGTAGAGAGATCAGCAAGTTAAAAGAAAACCTATAAGTCCAAAGCCATTTTGATACATTTTTATTTATCAGGCTGCTATGGCTTGCGATTTTGCAATTGTGCGTTTCCAATTTCTTCGACGTCTATTGCTCGTTCATGGTCATTGGTGTTATGATCGTCTATCACTAACGTTTCTTTATTTTCTGTACAAAAATACGGTATGTTTATTCATAACCTCCCTGATCAACTTTTGTTGATTTCGTCATTATTTTCATTGTACATGTGAATATGGGTCCACCCTAGTGTGGCAGTTTCAATAGTGCGGTGTCAAGGTTACGGTGTCTGAGAAGTAGAGATCTAAGTTAGATTCCGGCTAAGCCATTCCTCTTCCTTACTATTCAGCGTTTTCATTGTAGAGCTAAGCTACTAAAAGAGTGAAGTCGTGCATATACTTCTTCCTCTGCACGAAATTATTCAAGGCGCGATCAAGCTCCTTCTCAAGTATATACGCAGTTATTAGGCTTCTTTTAGACGTAATTTAACTTATTTATTTACTTAGGCCTCCGATAGACAAGCAAGAGGGAAGTATTCGATTTTTTGACAAGTTAGTGTCTGGTTCTGAACTATTATCGGTTGAAGTGATGATCTACACAGGTTCCCCATCGATGTTGTAGGAACGCGATGGGGTCCTCCCTCAGTGGGATGTTTACTTCCACTTTCAGCATGTGTTGACCTGGATTTTTTTATCACCCATAATTTTTTCTTTAGTGGACCAAGCGACCTTCGTTTTTCTTACCATTCTTACCATTTTTCAAAATATCTCTCGGATTTTGATAGTTTCAGAACAATGTTTTCTTGCTGTTCTTTTTCCAATTGTACAATGGTTGGAGTGCATCGTTCAACACTGACCCGGTGTATTCAATTTTATATCCCATCATATTTTCAAGGTAACTTTTCGAATCATCTTATATATTATAGCTTGCTTCTAATTTTCTGGGTTGGGTAAGGTATTGGTAAACCATGTACTGGTAACTGTTCAGCCTTCAACCGATCGTTGTGGGTGTGATTGATCAAGATGCATCGGCTGAGGAACTACTATCAAACCCCGTGCTTTATTCACCTGGTCGCAAAGGAACGAAGTACACCTATCAGCTTTTTGCAATCAATACAATCGATGGAATCTGGCAAGCTGCAGTGGTCTTCTTTACTCCTTTCTTAGTAGGTTCCGCTTAATAGGTCTAGCTTGTATATACCCATTTTCCACTCCGCCCGCAGATCACTAAGTCATAGTACGGGGACGGAACGCACTTAGAAATAATGCATAAGGATGGGATCAGAAATTCGCTATGTTGGGTCAGTGGATACTTGGCTACTTTTTAGAGAAAGGGCTAGAAAAGTTCTGATACAAATCAGCTGTTTTAGACACGAATTCAACCTTGGTCTACGCTTACTTGTTCGTTTCCAGACTTTCACTGGCCAGGAATGTGGTCTCTGGCAATTCGGATTTTATATTGCATCTGGTATGATGTTTACGAACACCGCCCATCTCGCCGTGGAAGTACGATGTTGGGTGAGTTCACCGTTGCGTTCTATTTGTTACTATGAAAAAGGTAGTCATGTAGAATGGGATGCATACGTACTAGTTTCAAAAACAGGATACCAGTACCTCTACGGTTGCGTTGAAGTCACTTTAACCTTCAGCGATCGGGGCTCCTCAAAATCAGTGATCTCAGCAACGGCTGTTATTGCAGTTGCCTTTTGAAGTTTCACTGATTGTGAGACCCTTCAAAAAAGCAACAATTATGTGTCGGTTTTCGAAGTTAGTGTGCTGACCTCGATCTCAAAAATGGCCTATTAGAAGAGCCACGGCTTTTAATTGGAAGGTACTACGTGTCGGATAAAGTTTGCAGTTACATAAAGTCTGATATTAGGCTCATAATTGAAAAAAGAACATACTTCTGTGTCGCTCCTCATGAATCCAGACATTAAAGTGTAGCAGAAGCAATATGAATATCTATTATAAATTTTACTGCAATTATAGGAAAGAGCGAAATGCATGGCGTATCCTCAAGCGTTTTCGTCATCTTCAAATGTCCTATATCTTTTTGTAGAGAAAACGATAAATAAATAATCACCTCAGTTCATAAATGCTTTATAAACCATAATTAGAATAAATAAATAAATAAATAAATAATATTTCGATGAATAAAAACAATCAGAAATTAAACTTCTGTTATCAAAAGAAATGGGGAATGAGCGATTGATCGTTGTAGCCTCACGTCCGCATAAGCATGAGCACATACTCACACAAATACACGGACCTATAATTATATGCATACAAATACACATACACATATGTACATATACATCTACACACACCTCCACACACATACACACATGTACGCCCATGCAGACACACAATGCACGCAACAGACACACACCCAAGAGCATACCGGCGCATACTGACAGACTGGCACTCTGATATGCACTCATCCAGGCTGAGATAAATCTTTCAAAGGCGTAAGGAGTATAGTTTTCATTCTAGAATATTCCGCTAGCGACCGTGTTCATCTTCTTCATTGCTCTTCATTTCGGTTTCTTCATTCTATACGGTTTCGTTTCCCAACCTCGTTAGTTTTTCTTGATGATTTGCTTTCAGAGTTGCAGAACAATGTGAACTTTTTATTAAATTATACTTTGACAGAGTGGTTATTTGATGCACCCATACACGTACCTAATCAGGCAATGATGACATTGGATTTCTGGCTTGTTATGGCAATCACTACAATCATAGCTATCTTTCCACGGTCGGAAAATTTACTCGTTTGAAATTCTCTCTGCTACTTAATACACGGGGTTAGTGCCTTAATTGGAAAGAAGAACCAATGCCGAGTTATGCTGTGGTTTGGTCTAGTTCGTGCAAGTTCTGCTCACTACGACTTGAGCATTATCCTCGTAATTTATGGAGTGGGACGATGGGAGTCGAAGTGAAGAGTCTGTGCTGAAAGTCTTCTGGGCTCTCTCTGCGTCCACCTGATTCGCCGTTGTCTGGGTCCCCATCTCTTTCGTTCACTGAAGCTCTCCCTATTATGGATTTGAGTTGAGAAAGGGCACTTCATATATTTACAAGAGATTGGAAATACCAGTTTAAAAAGTTTAGGGCGATTACTGAACTACTGAAGATACAAAATTGCCGTATATTCATTTGAACATTAAAATTTGTATAATCACTTCCATACTAGTTTCAGTTTTGCCGCAAGATGTCTATGGAATACGTTGTACTGTAATGAAGATCAGAAGAAGAAATAGAATTTTGCAATTAAGCTCAAATGTACCTTATCGTGTCTATAAATTATGAAGTCATCAGAATATTACATGTTTCCCACAAAAATAAGAGAACTTGAGTTGTTTGGGGTGCGCCACGCATTCGACTTGCGTATAGGATGGTATTTATGTTTGAATGTGTAGTTGTTCTTAAGAATAGGTTGTTGGGCCTGAATGAATGTATAATTTAAGCTAACACCTTCCCACATGAATCTGGTACCAACTAAGGGACCAAGGAGTAATGGAGTGGAGTTGATCTGGGGGAATCAATTTGTAGCATTCTTCGTAGGATAAAAATGCAAAGTGAGACGTAAACGTATTCCCGGATAAAAAGAGAATTTACCAAAATAAAACACTTTCCTCTTTTAACATACGCTGATGAATGTGCTCGTCATTTTGCAGGCTTAACAAGGGAAAATGAAAATGGTGAGATATGTCAGTGACTACAAGATGTTTTTCACTTATTATCATATGACTAAGAAAGTGACAGCCGTTTGTACAAATGAAGCCCATGGGAGCAGAAAGGAGGAAACTACGGTCACACTCCTTGGTAAGTTCTTAGATTTGTATGGGCTTATGTGTGATTTATTCTGAATGTCGGAAGAAGGGAAGAAGTGTACCTCGTTTTTCGACGAAGAATATTTTTCTTTCTTTTGCNATTTTGCAGGCTTAACAAGGGAAAATGAAAATGGTGAGATATTTCAGTGGCTACAAGATGTATTTCACTTATTATCATATGACTAAGAAAGTGACAGCCGTTCGTACAAATGAAGCACATGGGAGCAGAAAGGAGGAAACTACGGTCACACTCCTTGGTAAGTTCCTAGATTTGTATGGGCTTATGTGTGATGTATTCTGAATGTCGGAAGAAGGGAAGAAGTGTACCTCGTTTTTCGACGAAGAATATTTTTCTTTCTTTTGCGGTAAGATGAAGTTTAAAATATTAGGCATAATTCTTCTTCATTGAATTGACCAGGAGTTGAGCATTAATTTATTCGATGTCTACGCCATCTAGTACGAGTTGCCTGTTAGTTTTGATTGTTATCATAATATGTTACTTGAAAACTTTTCTTGAAGTACTCTCTCGTCTGTCAGAGCTAACAATAAGACCAATAACAATAAGGTCACTTTAACCATGAAGGCGCAACCATGGTGGGCGACCGTGCGATGATGTGGGTCACGCTACAGACCAAACTCTGAAATTCGCTTCTGACATAGGTTAGATTCAGAATAGCCTTAAGAGCTAAGATGCATCAAAATTAGAGCAACATTCGATCAAGGTGGAGACAGAACACGGAAATTGGTGACTCGAATTTGGTCGAAAGGCTAATGTCCAGAGAAGAGAGAGCGGAAGAAGCCTTAGTCTAGGTTCCCTGAAGAGGCGGTGCCAGAAGTTTCCATGTAGGGCTAGATCGCTCAGAGACAGGTAAAAGTGGGCGAGGTTGAGCAGTGACTGGCCCAAGTCCAACGGTCATCACGACATCGCATAAGGGGTCTAGCCCACGTAATCTTCGGATCCTTGACGATGACAACGGCATCCCTGATCTTGTTCGATCGTTACTTTGCTCAGCGCGTTGAATGGCTCTGACTGCATGTTCATCCCGCTTCCCTAGAGTCCATGTCTTCGAGGCCTACATGAAAGCAGGAAGGGTCGCAGAGTCGAAAAGGCCAGCACGGAGCGGGACAGGGTTGCCAGCTCTATGTACTGTAGGAATACTGTAATGTTCAGCAGAAGCAAAGATTAGTACTTTGTTTTATTTGCTTTACACTTCATAAACAGAATAAGAGACACAGTACACGTGAAACGCAAGAACGGCTCCGGAATTGATAGCTGTTCAACAACAAATCTATTCATTAAAAATTATAACAAGTGAGGTAATAATATTATGATTGATTACATTTGAACTATGATACAGTGAGGTATATTTCTAAGATAACAATAAAAGTGTTAGTGTAACCGCCCGAATGGATAGGTCATCGCCTTTTGTTGAAGAATGGATCTTGGTTCGTCCTCCCTCATGTCGTAAGGTCTTGCTTCTTGATCAGTTGATAGTAGCAACCACGTCGCTGCATCAACTGGGAATGAGTACCAGATTCTCGAACCTTCCCGTTTTCCACATAGACAATAAGGTCGGCATTTTGAATTGACGATAGTCGATGGGCGATTGTAATGCATGTACGACCTTCTCGAGCCAAGTCCAGGGCCTTTTGGACCGCCTTGAATTAGTATGTAACGTTAGTAGGATACATACACTACCTACTTACACATATATGAGCCACAAGTTTAGTGGGTCTGTTTGTTTATCTGTTTATCTGTCACAATTTTGGTATCATCTGAAGAAACACCTGGAGAGACCAGGTCAAGTTCGGGATGGGTGGAGCCTAGAACACGATAAACAGAGCACGCTGAGCTCGATAGAACCCCGCCCACAAGAGGTGGGTCTGCACCAAAATTAGTGGCGGTCAAAACAAAACTACTTATTATGGTTTAAGGGAAGCCCAGGCTGTGGTAGTTTTTATTAGTTCTGAGGAGGCCGAGCACGTTCTGTCGAATTGCTTCTGAAGCATGTGCTCCTTGTTCATGTAAAGCCATGTGAGACGTAGAAACAAAAAAACCCCGGAGTTCTGAAATCCCTGAAGTGGCCGAGCGAGCGAGTGATCCGGTTCTTATTCTCACAGTTCTCGATACTTCCCTCCGTGATAAAAGTTATCTTTTTCGAGTACTCATGTGCATTGGTGATGGTTGATACGCGAAAAACAGTGGACATGGGTTACAGTAGAGCTGGTGAGTCGTAGAAGGGGGCCTATTGTAAGCATTCTCGAAATCTCACGAAGACAGGGGGTGGGTTATCCCATAACGAGCATGAGAGCGATGCTCACAGCTAGAAATTTCTAGAAATTTGGTCACCTTGTAATATCGGACATGTTATTGGTTACCACATGTGCTTAGTTGGTATTTCACGAAACCCTCTCAGAAAGAGCCCTGGGACATTTCCCACCCATTCATTCAACTTACTCTTTCACTTTCTGAATCCAAAGCGCTGGTGGCTTCGTCCAGCAGCAATATTTTGGGATCTCGTACCAGCGCCCGTGCTATAGCAATACGCTGCTTCTGTCCACCCGAGAGTTGTGTGCCTTTTTCACCGACCTGGAATATGAGTTTTACATGTCATGAGTGCTCATTAAATTTCTTCTTCAAACTCAGGTTGTTCATGCTGAGAACCAATTGCTAATAAGTACAAAATGGTGGACTTTTTGGGTCTTTCTACGGGTACCTGCGTCACCCTGTTCCTCGAGTTTTTGGCACCCCCTATATTCTGCCGATGCTGACCCAGTCCAAGCCTTCCCTTGTTAATTCTTGAGAACCCTAAGGACCGAGCCATCATATCCAAATCGGAATCGTTTAACAAATGTATGGGGGTGTTGTGAGCGGAGTATCGCTGCTACTGCATGTATGGCACGCAGGTCAAACCGCCAATTCGTTACCCTACTAGGCCAACCATCTACCTCTTTTTGGGTTCAAGCTCATCCCGGAGAACAGAGGCACGGACCATCAGCCCATGGAGTAACTGTGAAATACCTTATTAGATCTGGATAGGCATCGAGAGCCCAGGGAATCAATGCCGAGAACTTTATCATTTACTATCACCCCACAACAGCTGCTTGCTATTATTTCCATTCCTCATCAGTAATTCTTATATGGCACCCTATTCCTGTCTGTATTTTGTAGTTATCTATGGTATACGGTCGCCTATTAGAATCATAATACCATGCCATTACTCTTTTTTTGCAGCCTTATTCCTATCCTTTTCGTAGATTTCCATAAATTATATATTTTCTTACTTGTTCACCGTCATCTGCATTTTTAGCAGCTTTGGTACTCTCCCTCCCCCTATTTTCAATATTTATGTCCTAACGGCTTTGTTCTGGTGCGTTATCGCCAACATATAATCATACCATAGGTCGGGCTGTATCCATGTGCTAAAGAATTACTTCATAAAATGCCCTGGGAAGAGTAATAATCAGAAGAATAATAATCTTGCAAATCTATGCGAAAAACTACGGTAGAATTACCAGACTGCAAAGCTCCTTACCTCCGTGTCGATACCAGCTGGTAAATTAGCAAGGAAACCTTTGGCGTTCGCCAACTCAATAGCCCGGTCGATTTTCTCCATTGGTACCTTAAGAAGTCATTCGAGAGGAGTAAAAGTGGGCAGTAAATGTAACGACTTACCACTCCCAGACCAAAGCAAATATTCTGCTTGATGGTTCCCGAAAATAGCCTTGGCTCTTGTCCAACTAATGCCATTTGCGTGCGTAGATGATTGAGCGATAGTGTTTTTAAATCCTTTCCATCAAACCGCTAAAACGCGAAGTTTTTCAAGCTTTAAACTCGGAAAACTTCAGAAACATGTAATACTCACAACATATCCGCCAGTGGTATCATAGAAACGTTCAAGCATCGAGATAATTGTAGACTTTCCGGAACCAGATGGTCCAACAAGTGCCACGGTTTGACCGCGTTGAGCTGAGAATTGCAGTCCTCTCATTATAGGTTGCCTAGGCCGTTGCGGATAACTGAACTTGACGTCGTCGAACAGAATGTTTCCACGAATGGTCTGTAATGTAAATGATTGAGCGCCTAAAAAGGCAAAGTCCGTAGGGGTTAATCCCACTGTGAGAGAATAGTATCACACACATTTCAAAATACGCGAATCAGCTGAAAGTGACAGGGACATTTGGGAGATTTTTCGTACTCTGAGTTGCAGGCAAATACCACTACATGAAACCACGGTGCCCTATATGCGGAGGTCCAGGAACGAATAAGGCAGCAAGGATGTATCCTTGTGGTTACTGCAGGAAACACCGTCACCGTTCTACGGACAGGTTGATAGGAAGTATTCCGTTTTGGATGGTACTCGCTCCCCACAAGTCGTATGGATGGAATGGGTACGGACGGGTCATCAAAAGTGACTACTGGTAAATTCTACGTGCAACGGAAGGTTGATTTCCCAACTTTTTAGTCAGTGATACGACCTGCTGCCCATACATGTTACTTTTTCGCCGTTCCCAGGTTTGTCGTATAATCAGATAAGTACTTCTTCGAGCTAGCTGCGGCCATGTTCAGCTTGTCTGGGGAACCATTCACTTTACTCACTTTTTTCATCTATCATTTTCAGTATTTTTGTGAGAGCCACAAAATTGCATTCTGGAGTGGGTGGCACCAAAACTGACAATCCAGTTTGGGTGCCACCCACTCCAATTCAGGTGGTGTAGTGCGGTTGAACTTTTCCGGTAATAATATTTCCTATGCCAATTTCCGACTCGTTAACTCACCACTTTCTCACCAACATTCGCATCTCCCGTTCGTGGCTTACGGTAAATCACGCTAAATAGAAGTCCTGCCGCTGTTCGTGCCTTGACGAATTCGGGAAAATATGAAGACGAATTCATCACAGCCACTGACGCGAGTAGCATAGCTATGATCGTTCTGAATAGGCGACAGTGAATAAAAAATAAATAAATGAAGAAACACATAAAACCTCTTTTTTTGTAAATTGCATTTATAAAATATCAAGTAATTCTTCCTTCTCGAATGAAGGTCTTTCGATAAAAAGTTTGATGAGAAACGAGAAAAAAAATGAAGAAATCCCATAACGAATGAGGGTTTTCTTACCTGAATACGTTGTCGGGTGTCTTCTGTTCAGTATAGATAATATGAATTCCTACGGCATAACATACACAAACCATGAGGTAGGTAAAGGATTGAGAGATTGTAAAGTTTATAGCTTCGAAGATCCCTTCAACAAAAACAATGAGTAAAAAAATTACATTAAATAAAAAAATTTAAGTAACCTTTTATTGATTCAGATCGTTTTCCGAGTTTACTGGCTGCTTTGTATCGTCCATAGAAAGTAGACATTCGTGTAAGTAATTGTATGGTTCGAACATTTTCAATCGTTTCGATTGCTATCTGAAAGTCATACGATGTTAAGAGATCATTTTATATTATTATTAAGATTAATTGATCAAATTATAATTTAACAAAAATTCAGAACGTTATAGATTATTTCTCGAAGAATCCTACTTTTTCCATTTTCTAATAGTTCATCTTTCATCGTAAATTTTCTTAAATCGCGTTTTTCATTTTTTCTAAAAATTATCCAGTATTTTTGAGATTTCCTTTTTCCGTTGTCCTTCGACTACCCTCTTTGGTCGAAGCGCTGTTCTTGGATCTTCACCCAGGCATTACCCACCCTTGTCAGACTGATAAAAAAACTTTTTGGGAAAAAGTCGAGTTGAGTACAAGAAGTGGTCGGGTTGATTTATTCATAAAGTTATGGAATCAAAATAAAGGTAAGCGCCATCGAACAGATAACATCCTCGGCGTTACGAATTATTTCCGAGGTTGAATTTAATTTTTGGAATGTTCTTCCGATTTTTTGTGCGATTAAAATGCGATAGTGATGTAAAAGATTTTCTCTATCGAAAACTAAAGAGAGCACGCCTCAAGTTATCTGAAGTCATCTCTTGGATAGCATCAGGCTTTGTTTACTCAAAATTCTATCAGAGGTAGTCCGAAAAGAATCAATCAGTTTTCCTTGGGAGGCTTGGCAATTGGATTGAATAGTTTGGGGGTTGTTTCACTTTTTGTTTTCTTTTCTTATGATGATGACTACATTTCGAAGTGTTCTCGGACTCTGCCAATCGATGTGTATCCAATTTTTTCTCGCCGATTCCCCTGAGCGTTGCCAATCACGCGTAGGTCTCTAGAGCTGCTCCTTCCACATCGTATTATAGTTTTTGTTGATTTTATAAATAAACATACTCGTCCAGCTTCATCATCCTTAACCAGTTTGATGTTTTTGTTCATGATTGTCAGAGCCAACCATATCATAGACGTAGCCAGGATGAATAACATCCCTATTCCGATTAGTGTAACCTGGAAACAATTTTTTCCCTCCCGGAAACCTGATGGTTCGAAGTTCAAGATTTTACCTGCCAGCTGGATATAAATCCAATTATAATACATGCGATTACAGCCGTCATTGCGTAAATAACTTGAAGTGCACGACCATCAACAACCTGGTGATTGAATAACTCATGAAATCATCACTAGCTCAGTTTCTCTATGCTAACTTAACTCACTGCTTTAATATTCGGTGCATCACTAGCCAAACGAGTTATAAGCTTGCCAGGTGTATGCGCAGGATTGTCGAAATACGAAGCATCCTAGGAAAATTTTAAATCTTTCATGCCTTATTTTCGTTAGAAAAACCTCTAGATGTTAAAGTGATTGGAAGAGAAATGTCTATCAAAACCAAATTAAATTATTCAAAAGCGCCAGGTTTAACTTCGACTCATATAATGGTTTCGATGCTGCTTGAAGGAGCGAAATGGAAGTCCTTCCAATCTGTTACTATTATTGAAACCTTTTGAGTCTTTTCAAATGTTTATGACCTCTTCGAAATCAATGAGTAATACTGGCTCGAGAGGAATTTCCTTATCGTTTTTTCTCTGATTTTTGTGAAGTGTTTTCAATGCTCTTTCACTCTCAACTTCCCAACCTTTTCTACCAACCTTCCCTGGACGGTACTCGGAGGAAAGCGAATGATCGTGCATCTCTCATTTTTATAGTATCCGAAAAATGACTTTTCAGTCCCTACCTGGTAGAGCAGATTTTTGAAGGATTCCACTCTGAATCGCATAGCCAAGTTTTCCGACACGATCGCAAAGAACACACTCTGAAATGTCCAACTCTTTTTATTTACTATGATAGGTATGATTATAATTGTTGAGGGGCCAAAGAAGTAAGTAATCACGCCCAAGTTAGGAGCGATTAACTGGTTTTAGAATGCGACATATGTAAGTCAGGCAATGTCGCCGTCTTCACTACATGTACGATTGGGTGGTCGTTTTCCTAGTCGATGAACGCCTAGGTCTCCCAGTGCTTCCATTCCTTCCACTCCTAGATTGTTTATGCCAGATTCACCTGCGCGGATTAACTAGGGGGTAGAGGCTAAATACGCATTCGATAGAGTTTCTTCTTTATCCCTTATCAGGTACTATGCTTGCCTCTATTTCAAAGCAGCAAATCCCTCTCGAGATTGCGCGGGGAAGAGTCTACTTTTTTGGTGCCAACTCTTCCTTCTGTTTGGATGCCTATATATCCCACGTTCATGATCAAGGGATGATGCAGTTTCTTTCCGGTGACGAAGTTAAGATTGGCTAACATTAGATTTAGATTTATTGCATGCACATAAGCACATGGAGGTAGCAAGTACCAAATAATGGACTGCGTTAGAACAAACTAAACAACAAACATGAGAATTTCACAAACATATGGAAATTCCAAAGCGAACAAAGAATGAATTAGTAGTTTAATAATAAAAATAAAAGAAACTGCATATTAGGTGACCAACCTTCCAAAAAGATGTCGCCCAACCGAGTGCGTAGAGAGAATAGTTATACGAATACAC